TTAAGAGTTATGTCCAATTTTAGATATGTCTTTCAAGTCGTATCTCATCTTTCTAAATGGCTAACTCTCATCATTTGCTATCCATACAATTGTAAAAACATATCTAGTCATTCAACAATTACTGACAAATAACACTGTCTTTCATCCATACCTCCCAACTTAGTACATGCTCAATAAAAAACATCTGTTATATTTCCAAAAAGAAACCAATAAGCAGAAAAGCAAACAACAAAATAAATATTAGTATGTCAAATCCAGCATTAAAGTCAAACTAACAAACCACGTCTGCTTCTATATGTTCAGCGAGAAGCAAGCTTCTTCTCAACTTATCTCTAGTCTGGCTTCATTTTCTGCCTCTAGACCTTCCTCCATTTCTATGCAGTTAGTTATACTGGGCACCTCAAAGCTCCCTCTTTGCTGCAGGATCCTTCATGCCCCTCTGGTATTGTACATGCTGCTCACTCTTACATCCCCTTGCTCTTATTCTCTCTCATCTTTTAAGTCTCTGCTAAAAGGTCAATTATTCTAAAAAGTTTTCACCTTCCACAGAAATTGACAGTGCCCTTACCCCATTAACTTGACATAACTGTATGCATTTATTTCACTTATCTATGTGTAGGTATAGCCAACAACAGATTTATAGTATGTTTTTAAGGATTAGACAAGTCTTTTAAATATAAAATTTATACATCATCTTGTCCTGATGAAGTCCCCATCTAATAGCACACCAAATTATTATTTTCTGCTTAATTGTCTATTTCATCAAATATATAATATGGCCTCTATGTCACCAATACTTTGACACAGTTAGTACCAATATAAATAAGACACAGTTCCTTTCCTAAAGGAGTTTATAATCTCAATAGAGAGTTAGCATGAATAAATATAATGACACACAAAAATGTAGTTAATGTCATAAAATAAAGCAGGGTATGGACTCAACAATACAATACTGACCTTTCTATTTTTTTTTTTTTTTAGGTGTCTACTTGCAGCTGGGAACATCTGCTGATAACCTTCAGAGTTAAGTATCTATTTACATCTTAATGGGAAACTCACAGAATAATTTCAGAATATGAGTTGACCTGAACTAAGAGATATGAGTGATGCTTTTATTTTATTTAAATATATTTTATTGATTTTTATACAGAGAGGAAGGGAGAGAGATAGTTAGAAACATCAATGAGAGAGAGTCATCGATCAGCTGCCTCTTGCACACCCCCCACTGGGGATATACCCGCAACCAAGGTACATGCCCTTGATCGGAATTGAACCCCGGTGCCCTTCAGTCCCAAAGCCGACACTCTATCCATTGAGCCAAACCGGTCCTGGCATGAATGATGCTTTTAAACTGATGAACAAAATTAATCGAGACTAGAAGCATGGATTAGACTGACAATTTCAGAGGGAAAGCGGAGGTTGAGGTGAGTGGAGAACAATTAACAGGGGAATTTATATACATAGATGCATAGTCCATGGATACAGACAACAGGGTGGGAAAGGCCTGGGGTAGGGGAGAGTGCTGGATGGAGGGGGTCAATGGGAAAGAAATCAAAGGGGGCATCTGTAATACTTTCAACAATAAAGATACTTTATAAATGAATAAATGAATAAACAAACAAACAAACCCATTTAGCAATATCCCCACCCCCTCCATTCTTTGATTCCAACCATAAAATGCCATGCAGTTAGAGGACCATTTACCTACTATTGAAATAGCAAAAATGTTATTTCTCTGTGATGACTGTAAGGTATGATAGTCAGACATATTGATATGCTTCCAATCGATACCTGCCTATTGACTGCCCAAAGGGAGAAACACTATGTCATGCTTAAGAGGAAAAAAAAGTTGACATGCTCTTGCCAAGCTGAGAAGTGAGTTAAAGGCATTATCAGGGTGTCAGAGAGGATGCACTATGAAAGGGATTAGCAAAGGCTGAGAAATGGTGACTGTCATCAGACAGAACTAGTGAGAAGATCAAGGAAAGTCCCACTCAACAGGAGACACATGGATAATAAATAAGAACTTGAATCACGTATTGAATTCACTCACTGTGAGACTAATAATCAAATGCATTGTTACTGACACCAGATGTGTTTTAAGAAGTATTGTTGAATGATAAAATAAGATTATGTGGAAACAATCTTATTCTTATTATACAAGTCATATATAAAGCAAAACAAAACTTTGCTTTATCTTAAACTGACCATGACAGTCAAAAATAATTTCCACTTCAATATGCAAATGCTTTAGTAAAAGTACATGCCAAACACAGAAGGTAAAACAAGATATCAGAAAATATTAATGAGATCATAAACTATAGTAAGGTTTTAAGAGAGTAACTTGGCAATATGAATCAAGTTCCTTAAAACTATTCATAATCTTTTACTCAATAATGCCATTTCTAAGACTAGTTCAAGAAAACAATAAGACATGCGGGGTTAAAAAATAATCACAAAGTGCTTACTGGAAATGTTGAATATAATCTTTATATATAAAATCCTAAACAACCATTACAGTGAAATGATTGCAACTACTGTTTGACCAGTTGCTATGATGCACACTGACCCCCAGGGAGCAATGTCCAACACAGGAGCTGCCCTCGGGTGGTCAGTGCACTCCCACAGGGGAAGCATTGCTCAGCCAGATGCTGGACTCATGGCTAGCAAGTGCAGGTGCGACAGCAGGAGCCTCTCCCAATTCTGAGACATCACTACCAAGTGCTCAGCAGACCAGAATGAGCATGAGCAGCATGGTGCCTGCCTGGATTCTGGCTCCTCCCTGCACCTGCTGCTTGGTGCACTGCTACATCTCTCGGGGATCCAGGATTGTGAGAGGTCATAGGCCAGGCTGAGGAACATGCCCCCTCAGTGCACAGATTTTGTACACCAAACATCTAGTAACATATGTTTAGAAAAAACATAGGATCCCTCCCCTCAAAAGGCCAAAATATTAAAATGATTAAATAAAAACAAAAGTGTCATTAAGTAGACTATTTATGATGCAGTCATTAAAGTTGTATTTATAGATATTCAAATAAGATGTAAAAAGCTCTGCTCATAACAGAAAATGTACTCAGATTCCCTTCTAGAAAAGTGCTTTATAGGGACCCAATTTGGATGTCAGGTGAATTTTTTCTGTCTTTAGCCAGGCAAACATCAGCATAGTCCCAAAACATAGCACATATATTTCCACCCCTAGGCCCTGGCTCTTGCCAGTCTGTTTTCTATAGGATTCCTATTCCTTATACCTGTTCTAATTTTAGCAGTTCTTCAAGTCCTAATGCACCTTATTTACTTCTGTGATGATTTCATGATTATCCTAGAACACAAATACCGTATTTTCCTGCGTAGAAGACGACCCCCTAATTTTACAGTTAAAACATAGGTTTAGGTCTTTTACAGTTAAAACATAGTAAGCTTTTTACTAGAACACAGTGTAGCTTCAGGTACAGAACATGTACACTGTGTTCTAGTAAAAAGCCTGCTCAGATTGGCCAGTGTCAGAGAGGCGGTCTATTAAAAAAAGAACTGGTGTTGCCTCAGAAGTGGGGGGTAGTCTTATACAGCGAATATAGGCCTAAACCTATGTTTTTACTGTAAAAGTAGGGGGTCATCTTATACACCAGAAAATACGTACTTCCTCATTATTCTGTATTCTAGAATTGCACTGTCAATTGGGATATCATAATATCACAGTGTGTCTATAACTAAATGAAGAATGTCATGAATGCCCTATCAATAAGTTCATATACAGAAGCTTCCAAATGTCTTGTGTGTTGGAGAAAGGTAATCAGATACAGAGCCTAAGGATCTGACATATTCCCACCATACTCACTCCATTAGAGTCCCAGCTCCAGCACTTACTATCTATGTGATCTAGAGGAAGTTATATATCCTTTCTGGGCTGCAATGTGTTAATTTATAAAATAAATCTATAATGATAAAGCATAATATGCAAAATGACCATATGGCTTAACAGAGAAACGACCGTCCAGACAACCTGGTGTCAGGCCAGCAGAGGCGGTGCTATGCAATTGGTTGGGGACCTGGCCATCACCCCATGACTGTCCTACAAAGGGAGGCTCAGACCACCGACCAGCAGGGTGATCAATCAATCAGGGGATGGGGTTTCATGGTCGCTCCAAAGAGGGAGGCCCAGGACCAGGCCCAGTCTACCCAGCTGGCAGCACTGTAGCCTGGACCTCCCTCTGTAGGACAATCATGAAGCCCTATCCCCCAGAAAAAACAAACAAACAAACAAACAAACAAAAAAAACCCTACTTGCAGATTCAGTTTCATTTTCCATTTTTTCCTAACATAGTCCACCACAAGTTCAGTTCAAGCTTTTTATTTGAAGCCACCCAAACACTTGCATCTGACCATCGGTACTTATCATCAATATGTTGGTTCTGCTGTGTCAGATCTACTGAGAAGATGGCATTTCCTCCCTCTTGGATTTAAGTGTGCCCATATGAATAGAAGTCCTGTTAGCCACTTACAGGTAGAAGATTTCAAAAACTGGCATATGTTTCCCGTGCTTTCCTCTTCATGCTATAGCAAAGTTCCAAAGGAGGGAGCCTCTGCCCACATCCCAGAATGCAGACAATGTGAGTGAGGGCCCTCTGTCCATGTGTGATGAGCATATCACATAGGCATGGCACAATTCCTGGCCACTTAGCCACTGAGATGTTGGGTTGTTTATCACAGTACAACTCAGCCCACCAAGACAATACAGTTGATGTCATACCTCACCTCTATGCACCTGTGCCTCTTGTGTCTCCTGTACGTCAACATTTCACATTCCTACCTGTCTTCCTGGTAGGCCACACATTCCATGAGAATATAGCTTATATCCATGGATCCTCCAGGCCCAACACAAGGTTTGGCATATGGAATGAATGAATGACAAGTGCTTTCCCCATACTGACTATGCCCTGAAGTCAATCTGGTTCCTGGAGTTGTACCAGCTCTATGATAGAAACCACGGATCTACTCACGGTGATGGCAGGTGGGGCCCATGTAGCCCGTGTCACTGCAGTTACAATGGAAAGTCGCCCAAGACTGGGAACAGCTGCCTCCGTGTTCACAGTAGTTTGGCAAACACCTAATAGGAGATAAAGCAGAACAACCAAATCAGCTGAAATAAAGAGAAAACAAATATCTACCCACGTGAATTAATAGAGTAAATTGGTCAGCTATATTCCTCTACCTAAACAGTCTTCAATCCATCAAAATAAAAACTATGATTTACCATAAGAAATGGGTGTGATTATTGGACAATAATGACTTTGAGCTGATTTAGGCAATTAAATCAAGGATTTCAATACTGGGGCAACATCTCATTGACTTGAAGTTACTATGAAGTAATCAGAAGCTTAAGGCTTTTCATTTTCCACTGAACAAAATGTGCAAAGTTTATAATTTCACATGTTGGAAAGGTATTGCATTTTTAAAGAAAAGAGATGTGCAGATAATTGTGGCCACTGACCCCAGTTTCTCTTTTTTGGGGTCATAAAAGGTCAGGAATCTATTTTAAACAACTATTTTTAAAAAAACAACATGAAATTTTAAAAGACAAACCTGCCCATTTAACATTCAAAAAATTACATAATTTTTAAAGTGCCAATATCATCCTTACAATGAGGCTTTTACTAGATTGTACTGAAAACAGTGTAAGTGTTCTAAAAAAATCTTTCACAGCACATGTTAAAAATTCTCTGTAACATTCACATAATTTGACCCAGCAATCACACTTAAATAGCTCTATCTTTAGGATATATTTAAAATATGGAAATTATGCATGCTACTTATCATTATTCACAATGATGTCATGATGAATCAAACTAAGTGTTCAAGATTAGAAAATTTCTTAGGAATGTTGTAGTACATAAAATTAATGTGCTATCATAAAGCTACTACAAATGATGTTAGCAAATGGGATAATAATGGACCGGGACCGGATTAAGTGGAAATTCAAGCTGTAAATCAAGGCCGCAACAAAATAAGAAAAACACTTTATGTTGCAAAAATGATAGGAAAACAAAGGTTAAGTGTCCCTTGGTCTAATGGGAATGAAGACAATGTTTATTTTTCTTCTGAACAGAGATCTTGGACTTTAAGTCACCCATCCCTGAGTTTGATCCCAGCTCCACACATTTGCTACACAGTGCTTTTGGATATTTCTTTTCGCCTTACATACACATGAATTAAAATCTTGACATTGCAGGTCCTGTTATTACTAAGAGATAAGCTGGCAAGTGTGTCATATTTGTAATGTATCAAATAAAGAGTAAAAGCAATGATAAATACTGAAACCTTGAAACCATCCTTACAGGGAAAACTGTGCCCTGATGTAAGTGGAGAGGGTGGGAGCAGTGAAGAAGCAGAAGTGGCCTAATGCAGTAAAGGTACTTATTGTGCAGCCACCGAGCGTGTGATTACCTTAAAGGTCCTGTATCGGTAAGAACCCTCCAGCAGTGATTGTTTCAAAGCCCAGAAACTAATATCTCTGCATATGTTCAGACGTATTATTAGAAAAATTCTGCTCAGCACAGCAAACTCTCAATTGTGCTGACCGGGCTTATGCTTGGGAAGAGCTTATTGGTAACTCCTTGGTACCCAGCTATGGCTTAAAATACAGAGGGAAAATAGGACCCAGTAATTTTTCTAGGAATATGTCCACAAATCCAACCAATAAATATGCAAACAAGCCAAAAACGTGACCCCTTTCCTGCTTCAAATGTTGCCCTTCTTCTTGATTTTTATTTCCAGCTGGGGGTCTCGATGGAAAATAAAAGAAAAACACTTGTCACTCAGATGAACCAGAGTCCTCACCCCCCCAGGAACCTTGTGCTGTGGCACATTACTTAACCAAGAAGCTCTGCCTCTGGGAGGGTCCTGATGGAGAGCTTGGCAGCCAGCCTACAGATGCCCACCCACACCCTGAGTGCATCTTGATAAAGCTGTACACAGGTCTTTGTACTGACATATTAATAAACTGAGTTTAGCCCTGCTGGTGCTGCTCAGTGATTGAGCATCGGCCTATGAACCAGAAAGTCACAGCTGATTCTCAGTCAGGGCACAAGCCTGATTTGGGGCTTGGTCCCCAGTGTGCAGAAGGCAGCCAGTCAATGATTCTCTCATCACTCTCTCCCTTCCTCTCTGAAAATAAATAAAAATATATTAAAAATTAAAATTAAAATGCTGGATAGAAATTCATGTCTTTAATGGTCATTCAAAAAACACCAATGTTGTAGGGAAAATGAATACTTGTTTATGGGAAAACTTAATATCCCTAAAATGACCAAAACAAAAGTGCTATAGGGCTGCCTCAGAGCTGTTCAGTTCACACTGTTGATAGGAAGAGCTCATCTGTAAAGTCAACAAAAAAGATGCATAACCCCATTTTCCGTCTTTAAAAGGGGGTTTCATGAGTCTAGTTTCTATATACTTTGAACTGTTCATTTTATCTTTGTTTTGTGTCTTTTTCTCCTACCTGGTATGAACTGAGCACTGAAGCCATGAACTCAGAAAGGGAAAGACCTGGAGCATGAGGAGAGGAGGAGGGGGGGCAGTCAGTCTCACATGCGGGGTGCCTAATTCAAACTGCTGGAGAGGCTCATGCTGAGCTTCTCTGCAGTCCTAAACAGACTGCATGCCTGACTTGGTCTGAGTGGACGTGCCACCTCTTGGTGTGCAATGTTTGACAAAGGAAGCATTCAGCTGAGCACACAGCTCCTCTGCACTGCTCAGGGGCATAGGCACACTAGCACAGTATGTGTGCCAAAGAAGCCTAGAGGGCAGCCCCTGGACGCTGTCCACCTGTATAAATGTACAGTGTGTATTCTGATGGGAGGCCAAAGAAGGCATTGAAGCAAAGGTTGAAAAGGGTTAGGAATGGAAGGAGAAATAAAAACAAAAATCAATACAACAGGGACAACAGTCATGTACACATTTTATATAAGAATTTATAAATTTCCCCAAACCAGCATCCTTCCAAGAGAAGGACCTCTGGGGACATCAAGGTAAGAGGAGAAGCGAAAAGAGGAGCATCCACAGAGGCCCCTGGCATTCAGCAGTGCTGGCCACCCAGCAGCGCACACAGGTGTGTGTAGCAGCTTCCCTGTTGTGTTGTGATGTGCTGGGTTACACACAAGGAAATATGAAGAGACAACAGTTTCTCTTCAAAGGCTGGTGCACAGCAGGGGAGACAGCAGTGGTGCTCTTCAAAAAAGGAAAAATATTTTACAAGTGAGGGAGAATGGGCTATGCAGAGGCAAGCATTTCTAAGAGTTTAACCCTAGTCCAATTTCAAGCATCCTGGCACAATTCTCTCTATTACCATCAGGGAGAAAGGATGACTCCAGGGGTGTTCCTTGAAAGTGATCAGGGTGGTGACTAAGTTCAGTTAGCCTTAACTGAGCAGGAGCAGGAGTTTCCTGCTGGAGTGGGAGGGGCCTGAGAAAGGCATTGGGAAAAGAATGTGATTCAAGATACTTCCAGAAAATGCAGTCTGTCAGTTTGCTTATAAGTTAGAGAGTTTCATAGAATCATAAACTTTTGGCTTTTCTTAAATGAAAATCAGATACAGAACAATAGTCATAACTAATCTCAAGACTTTCTATGCCAAGTTTATATGTTGAGTTCAGTCTTCTCTCCAGAATTCCGGATCATAAATGCAGCTGCTTGCTTCACAACTCCACTTGGGCATCTAACAAATATTTCAAAATGTGCATGTCCAAACCTAAATTTCAGACCTCCTGCCTCCTCTCCCTGCCCCACCTTTTCTACTCACAATCTTTGTTCACTACCAGATGGCAGCAGCTTCATGCTTACACTGTGTTGACTCCATAACTTGAAGGGCCTTCCCTTCCCCCAGTGCCTGTATCCCAGGCAGGAGACACACTCTGGCTCTGCCCACAGAAGTTCTCCTGCCTTCCACCACTTCTTATCCCTGTACTGCTACCACTCTGGTGTGAGCCACCAGCATTTCTTGCCTGAACAACTATAATTACCAGTCAACTTGCTTCTAGCTTTCCAGCTTAATCCCTTCAGCCAATCCCAATGCAAGAGCAAGAGAGGTCCTTGTAACACTTAAGACGGATCACCTTAAAGCCTCCAATGGCTTCTTGCTTTATTCAGGGTAAAAGGAACATCTTTCAAATTACCTACCAGTTCCTGCCAATCTATATCCCCTTTAATTCTCTGACCTTGTCCTATTCTTCTCTCTTCTCTTCATCTGTTCCAGTCACACTGCCATCCTCACAGTCCTAAAGCACAGGCATACTCCTTAGTCAGAGTGTTTGCCCAGAAGTTCCCTCAGCCCAGAAGCTCCTACCTGGGATGTCCACGTGACCCACTACTCACCTTGTCTCTGTCCAAATGGCACCTTCTCAAAGATCTACCACCAGCCTGCTATTGTAGGTGGCAACTCTCCCTCATTCTGTACATCCATTCCCCTTCCCCAGCCCCCCTTTCTGTCCTTGCACTTTCTATCTTCTCACACATGCATACTCTGCTGATGCATTAAGTTAATGATTTGTTTATGATCTCTTCACGAAAGAATGTAAACTCCATAAAAGCATTGGTTGTTATCTATTTCGTTCACAGAATACCAATGTACTAAACAGGTAGCCACTCAGGAATCATTGTTGATAGAATGAATAAATGAATGAATTAAAATATTTCTGGGGTGCAACAACCACCAGAAGCTGCCTTCTTTCACCTAAGCCTCTTCAGGTAACCACAGTCTGTCTGTCCTTCACTTGTGTACAATTACCTGCCTGCGGCTGAACAGCTGAGGGGTGAGGGGAGACAAAGAGTCTCACTCTTTTCTCACTGGTGAAGTACCCTCACAGGTGAGGATCAGTTCAGAGCGGGGAACCTCAGGAGGGGGCAGATGAACACCATCTGGGCTCTCTTTCATGGCTGGCAAGGATGGGAGGAAATGACACAAGGCTTTTGAGACTTTGTGGCTATCAGGGCTGTGTTACTGGGCACTAATGACTTCATCTCTGAAGGTAATTGTCTTCAGAATGGTCAGAAGCTGATCACTTTAGAATGATGCACCTTGAGCTCCTGTGAGGAACCATCTTCCATTCCTGA